ACAAGAATGTTTTTCCAGTTCCATCTGGACCATCTATAAAAAAAATAGCAGGAGTTTTAGTTTTTACAGCTATAATAACTTCTTCATATACAACCTATTAATCCATATTTAGACTAAAAGAATCATCTTCAGTAAGTTATACAAGTTCTTTGATATTATATTGTTGCTCTTTTCTAATTAAATAATTATTTTGTTTATCATTGTTAGGAAAAGCAGTTAGAATGGATATATTCAGAAATTGATCAAGTCATCTTTTGTATTTGTTAAAATATATTCTAAATAAAGGAGTGTTTAGTTGCATATATCATCATTGAGAGCTATATTTCTAGTATTGTTACAAGTTTGAAAAAGTATATCATCACTGAGAGTAAAAGTATGTTTCTTCTAAAGCATCTCAGATCTTACTGATTCATAAAATAAAAGTATAGTGGTAAATAAATAACGTAATTATGCTTCAGATTGAACTTATCCAGCTTCTTCTAAAAATTGATTCCATTCTCTATCATCCTGTAGTAAGCTTAAAGCAATATATGTTTTTTTGAAGGAATGATGAAGAATTCCCTGTACTGTGCGAAGGTCTTTAAAAGAATTTGCATCACAAACTATATTAAGCAGCATTTTTAGGTAATATCATTCTTCTGCTATAAGATATACAAAGTACATTCTTCTAATTATATTTCTTCATTATTTTAGCTTCAACTTTCTAGTTCAATTATTATAGACCTAATGAGATAGAAAGTCTGTTCTCTGAATTAGAACATTCAACTACATCTTCTAAAAGTTTATCATCTTAAAATATCACTCTATGTTATACAAAAAGATGAATACTTAGTTGGATAACATTTGGTTTCTCATTGTATAACTGATAATGAAATATCTTTCATGAGACTTCTGATGCTGAGATGTAGTAAGCATCAAGGAAAAGATAAATTTTATCATTTGTTCATTCTTGTTTTTGTTCTTGCATATTATTTTTTCAAATCTCTATTATAGTATGGTCATAGTTTTTATAAACGTATTTGAAAAGATATTTTATAGTAACAATTGAAAAATAAATTTTAACATTAATGTAACAATTATACTTAGTGGTAAGATATAGACTATATGATACAACCTAATAATTGTCTAATCGAATTCCTCTTACTTTTACAGTTCAACCATTATTTCTATGCCTATAGAGAGGATAATTATCTTCGTTCTCTATGGTATTTTCTTGAAAGCTTTGTGGATATCTTTCAGAGCATTTTCTATCCTTTATATATGAAGCATTTAGCATGAAAGTACCACATAGTTTATGCATTATTGACATTCAGATAGTTTCAAATATAAAAGGATCACTATCCTTATCAAGAATTTTAGCAGATATCAATGAATCATAATCTGCAATAGTTCAAGGCTTGTATTCTTGAGCAAGAATGATAAGAATATGAGCGTAGGGTAGTTCACATTTTTAGAACTCTATTGTGTAAAGGTAAACTAATATTTTTTCAAAATATTTTCTTTCAAAATGTCTTTGAGTATTGCTTTTAGCTTTATATTAAAATACAACTAATTAAATCAGAGTGGTCTTACATCATTTGCTCAGGTAAAAATGCATCTTTAATCTTAAGCTAGTTTGAATTGCAGGTTACTGTGATAAATAAATCAGGTTTTCTAACTGTCTATACAATAGCCATTCTATTCTAATACAATTTATGCATTTGCTGAAGCTCTCCAGTGAAACTTAATAGTAATATAATTCTTTGTTCTATATTACTAAGCTAACTTTTAAATTTATCACATCTTGACATTCACTATATAGCTCTGTTCGTATTTGTTTTTGATTATGTCTTATATAGATAAGTCATGTTTGTTCTATTAATACATACATATAAACAATCTATTGTTAGAAGAGTTGTTTATATTAATATAGAATTATTGCTTCTCCAGAATATCTAACTTGAAGTCAGTATATAAAATAATTTATTGCAGTAATACATTTACCTGATATTTTATCTTTATTAATTTCAAATATCTCTTTATTATGTGTATTAATAGATTTATCTCGCATATAAATATTAGAATGCTACTCATTTTCACTTCTAAGAAACATAAGAATATAATAAAGCAGTATATAAGAAGGATGTATTTCTGAAATCTTTTGTAGATAACCTTTATATGGCTATAGCAAAATATTTTGATTTTGATATTATGATTCTTGTTCATTAACTATTATAATGACCGCAACTTCTGATACATTTAAAGTATTATAATGTTGAGAGTCTTTTGTTCTATTATTAGTTATTACTAATTTCAAATCTAATGAAGAGTCACATTTTAGTATATCTCCAGTCTGAAGAAAAATAGTAACATATGGATTAATATATGTAATATTTGTTGAAATTCTGTAAAAATAGTAGAGACAAGATTGATATCACATTAGACCTATTTTGTATTTCATGATCGGTATTATAAATATATATTTAGGCAAACTGAGGTTAAGTTTTAGGATTAAGTAATAAAGTGCTTATCCTTTGATATATTTCTTTATGAATATAAATAGTGTTGGCATATGATATCATATGATCTATATGATTTATATAATTTGTTATAAGTCATTTTGTCATTTAGTAAAGGTTTATGACATATGATTTTATCATATAATTTAACCAATTAAAAATAAGCATTATAATATTATAAATTTTATTAAATTTTATTATTTTTATTAAAACTAATTATCAGAAAATATATAATCAGTTTCAATATATGTTGACAGTTCTAAATTATCAATAAAAAGATATGATAATTTCCATTTAGCATTTTGATCATCTGCTAGATGAATATTATATGTTCTAATTAAAAAATCATAATTTAATAATTCTCCATTAAGCAATATTTTATCACTATTATTTCAACTTGATTTTCATAATTAGTTTCTTTAATCCATTCAGAAATAATAGTTTAGCATTTTTTCTCATTTTCTTCAGTATTTAGTTCTAGTTTATTATTCTGTTTTCTATTTTGAACTACATGATTATTATCATTATCATCTATATAATCATAATCATATATTACTATTGAATTATTATCATTAATAATTTCTAAATCTATATCATTATTATCATCAGGAACAATCAGAGTTATAATACGAAGTCTTTTTATTTATTCATTTGTTTGAATAACTTTTTTTCTTCAATGTTGATATAAAATATCACTATATATTTGGCTTATTGCAAGACTTTATTATACTATAAAATAATTTTATTTTAAAAAAATTTTAAATATATAAATTAAAAATTATAAAAAATATAATATTAACATTTAAACAATTTCGTCTATTAGTATAAAAAGCCTTATTAAAAATCATAAATGTTCTACTGAAGTGGGATTTATACAAATACATACTATGAATATAAATAGCTATTTTAACTAATTCTAGTCCAATTCCTATTGTTGATTCCCAAAAATCTAATACATTTCCTTGAAACTAAAAAAAAGAATCATCATCATATAGATCATTTCCTTTTTTATAGTTAATTAATTTTGCTAAAATTGTTTTAGTCAGAGTTTCAAAAAAGATAAGATAATAATATTTTAACCATTGGCCAATATGTATTTATGTTAGATTATTTACAGTTGATCAAAATTTTGATAATTTGTAAGATAAGTGTTCCTAATGAGTCGAATCGAGTCGAGTTTCAAGTCAAAATTATTCTACATACCTTTAATTTAAAATACTTATTTATTATGTGTAACTAAAATTTACAATTATGCACAATCATGCAAGTCAAATATGCGAGTTTATGCGAATTATTTTCAGAACTCTATGTAAGATGAATAAAAAATAATAGAAAGTAATAAAAGAGGCTGCTTCCAATCCTTCCATCTATTTCTATTTTAAATATCATTTTTTCTGAAAAATCTAAATCATGATATTCAGAAAAAATTTATAGTATATATAAAATAGTGAATTATCTTATAAAGACGTACAGTATCTTACTGTAATTTATTAAGAAATCTATATAAAGGATATAATAGATCTTGTAAAAAAAATAATATTGTCTAAAACTTCAAATTATTAATACTATCTGCAATATCATCAGATAATTTAACTTCTCTATTACTTTTTTTTGACTGTTTTATTAACTATAACATTAGGAATACCATTTATACAAATAATATTCACACATTCTAAATTAAATTTTATAGATAAAACTATATAAATTAATTATTAATTAGTAAATTATTATTTTATATTATAAATATAAAATAAATTAAAATTAATTAATTACCTTTAAAGCTGCTTGTGTCTTTAAAATGGAATAAAAATAAAAAAAATATAAATACCATCTAGTATCACTAGGTAATACTAGTTGGATTGTTTTATTATAAATTTGTTTTTGTTCATCCTGTAAAAAATACTGAATTATGAAAATAACTAACAATCTGAACTGCTTTTTTTGAAACTTTTTAAATATTACACTTTTTTTAAAAATATCACTAAATACTAAATTTTTTGATGTGTCATATAAGAAAAAAAATATTTTTGCAAGATATTTTCTTCATAATTATTATCTAATTAATAATAAAAAATATTAATAATAATTTAATATTGGAAATTGTTAAACATTGCCTGAGCGATTATCGCCTAGGTGATCGTCACCTGAGTGATCATCGCCTGGGTTTTTTTGAATGTCACATAATATATAATATATAAATATAACGATTGTCTATTAACAATTATTATTATTAGAAATGTAGGACCATTCGGAAGCTGATTCTATAGTAGAAGCAAGACCAGTCAGAGACTCTTTACCCAATCATATGGATTTAGTACTTACCGTTCCCACACTTGGATGATGAAACCGTTTAGGAATATAGCTGAGATCTATAAACTCTCGCGTGTAACTAAAAATGTGTCACGATACTAATGTATCACATATTATACAGTATTTAGCATACAGCATGCCTAAAATAAATAAACTCCTATCTTACCTAATCACTTTTTATAAATAGATCAAATGGATAATGTGCATAATAAGCACTACTTTTTTGAGGTATACTCTTCAAAAGAAGAGATAGATGATATTAATGAACTACAAGATAAATATGAATATGAAAGTATATCTAGCAAAGAAGAATATTCATTATTTGGTATTGAGGCTGGAGATATGTTTGAAAGCTGGAATTTGGCTGAGAAATAAGTTCAAAGCTCCGCAAAAAATACTAGCTTTAAAGTGAAGAAATTTTGGCTTGAAAAAAACAAAGGTGAGATTGTATATCGAACCTTCAAGTGTAAGTTTTCAGGAGTATATCATGCACAGAAGAAAGCTGACATAGAAGATACCGTGAGCGTAAAAGTGTAAAATTGAATTGTCTTTGGACAATTAACCTTTAGCTTACTAGTAGTCTCGTATATGTTACCTCATTATGTAATGAATATAACCACTTTATTGTTGAAAAGGAAAATTTAATATCAAATCGTCATCTTGGTCCAGAAATTCTTGAAGAGATTGAATTTCTCATAAATATTGGCTGTGAAGCAGGTCCAATTATCCTCACACTTCAAAAATATTTTCCTGAAACAGTAATACACCCAAAATATGTATATAATGCAATTTGTCGCATTCAGAATAGTCAGAATAAATCAAAAACAGATGCTGCTGAAACGTTTGAAAAATTAATGAAATTACAACGTGAGGAATATGGATGGTTTGTTAAAGTGAGGCTGGAAGGTGAAGACAACCATCTTATAGGTCTATTTTGGATAAGGCCATCACAGATTGAACTCTGACGCAGATTTCACGATGTTGCAATCAATGATAATACATTACAAACAAATAAATATCAAATGTATCTGTCCCTTACCATAATAGTAGATAATCATGCACGCTCACGTATGATTGTAACTGCTATTATATCAGACAAAACTAAAGAAACCTATTAGTAGATTCTAGAATGTTTACTGTCTGCCATAGACAATCTTGCGCTAAACATTTTATTCACTGATGCAGACCTCACGATAGTTTCAGCTATTTATGAAACATTGCCATCAACAAAGCATAATTACTGTATCTGGCACTTTTGCAAAAACCTTGACAAAAATCTGAGAGGTCGGCATTATAAAAATTACAATGAATTTGTGAAAGTGTGAAATAAATGCTAGAATTCCTTCTCAGAAAATGAATTTCAAAAATAATGGCATAAACTTCTTACTAGTTATCTGATGGCAAAAAAATACCTAACTCGTACACTTGGACAAGTTGTAACTAGCTGGGCATTATGTCACACCAGTTGATTATTTAATGCGAGAATCCAGTCTACTCAACATGTTGAAGGTTATAATTTTCTAATTAAACAATCAGTCAAAAGTTTAGCAACATTGTTTGAATTGAATACACATATCCAGTCACTTCTCAACAAAGAACAACAATTTGAACGGCATGAACAATCAAATCAAAATCCAACAGTTGGTTTACCAAACGTTGTTAGGAGATACTTCAAAAGAATAGATGCTATCATCAAAAAATTTCTTACTCCTCGTGTTTTAAAGATGCAACACAATTAAATGAATGAAAGTTTACTTTATCGTATAAATAAAGTAGAGAATTGGAAGGATTTGCTCGAAAATAAGGTATAAATTGTAACATTGGCATTTATTTGTAAATTACACAACATTCTTATTCTATTTCTATTTAGATTGTCAAACAAGATGAAGATGGTGAAGATGGCAAAGAACAACAATCTGATGATGAAAATAATCTGACAATAAAGAACAATCCAATGATGAAGAATAATCCGATGAAGAACAAAGGCGATGATGAAGAACAATCTGATGTAGAACAAGGCGATGATGAAGAACAATCTGAAAAGCTGAATTTTCCTGAAGACGACTATGAGTTACCAATATCCAACCTATATGCTCTGATTACATATCTTAATCATGCTAACATTCATGTATAATAACAATTAAACAAAATAAAGAGCATTTCATGATGATATATGATAATGCTAATCACTTGTGTATATGTATGTGGCTTGTAACAAGAGGATTAGTTTGTCATCATTTCTTTTCAGTGATATTTAATTTAGATAAGGCCATGTTTCATATAGGACTCATTCCAGATCGATGGTATAATGAAAAGTTTTTCGATTTTCAAGAAGAACCTGCAATTACAATTTTTAGCGAAAAGAACACTGTTAAACCTATGTATGAACACTAAGTTAGGCCAGATTTTAGCCTATTACATGAGGTTCGTCATACACAAGCATTTTTAGAAACTGTCAAGCAAAATTTATCTTATCAAGCCAAATATAATCAAGGTTTCAGCTACGCAAAGAAAGCAATTGGACTAGCTCTTGAAATAGACTGTGAAGACGAATTAAATAACATGTTGCAAAGGTGGATAAGAGAGAAGAAAAATGAAACTAGTTTTAGGCAACTAGAGATTAACAAAGAAATCTGCCGAATATTAGCAACCCTTATTAGACGCGTACAAAAGATGCTTTAAAAAAACGTATAAAGAATGCATTAGAAGGAAATCATAAGCAAAAGTCAAGTGGAACTGCTAGTACTCATTGATCGCAGTATATATGCAATCACTGTAAAGACATTGGACACAACACGCGTAGCTGCAGATTTAAAGAGAAATCTAAATCTAAATGATTTATAAACAATTAATTTAGAATAGCAAATTGTTATAATAAAGGATTTTGA